ATTTACTAGTCCCTTTCTCTAACCAGTATATGCTGTTTGTTGAATCCTTTGAGGTTAAGTTGCAGATACATGATTTTTTACTTCCATATATTTTAGCATATATCTCCTAAGAATAGAGTCTCATATAACGACAGAACAGTTATCAAATTCAGGAAATTTAACATTTAAGATTATCGAATATACTACATATTCAGACTTTGCCAGTTATCCTTTTTAGCAGTCCCTTCCCCCTTGCAATCCAGTTCCCAGTTACACATTGCATTTGATTGTGTTGCCTCTTCTATTCTGGAACAATTCCTCAGCTTTCCTTTGACATTTTTGCAGAGAACAGGCTAGTCACTCAGCTTAGGTTTGTTTGATACTTCCTCATGATTAGATTCAGTTTATGCATTTTTGGTATGAATACTATATATGCAATGTGTCCAATTGCATTACATGAGGAGACAAATGATGCTATTTGTCCCACTATTGATGTTAACTTGGATCACTTGATAAAGGTTGGTATCTTCCAGGATTCTCTACTGCGGTTATTTTCCCTTTGTAATTAAAAAGCAGGTTGTAGGGAGATACTTTGAGACTGCAAATTGTTCCTCATCAGACTTTCACCAAATATTTTTAGCATCCATTGATGATTCTTGCTTGAATCAATTATTACTACAATGTGATTTTCTAATGCTATCATTTCTTTTCTGTTTATTAGTTTGCCTCTCCCCATTTATTTAGTATGCACTCAGATTTATTTAATGGGTTATATTCCCTTACTGTTATTTTGTTTTTAAATTTTTTAACTTTTTCTTTTAAAGTAATTTCAAATTTACATAAAAGTTACAGTTCCATACACCTTTCACCCAGATTACCCAGTTGTTAATATTTCTGAACCATTTGAAAGTAAGTTGCAGATGTATTATCTTATTACTCCTTAATACATTAGTGTATATATATTTTTTACTATAACAAGGATATGCACATTTATTTGTTCAAATAAATAGCATATAAACTGAATAACAGATGAATAACAAAATACTCCGTAGAAAGTAGGGCTTCTAATTTTCACAAAAACTAGATATGTAAAACCTATTAAAATTTACATATTTCATTTTATAACCTCTACAGTTATTTGAAATACTCTCTAAAGTCTTCCAAAAGCATGCAAATATCAAATTGATTTCAACAGTGGTAGATGAATAAACTTTTCAAAGGCAAATTAATTTCTAAGCAAATCAACAAGTCCACATAATAAAAGTAAATCAAGAATAGAAATTAATAAGTGTAGCAACATAAATTGCATTAAAAAAATCAATAAAACAGAATGTAAACACAAGGGCACTTCAAAAAAAGTTCGTGGAAAAATAGAACTGAAAGATAATGGAAATCTTTCTGTGAACTTTTTTTTGGTGTGTTTACATTTTTCCTTTTTTTTTTTTTGAAAGACTAAGATCATAGAAAGTATGTTCTCTTACAACAATAACAGAAGGAAATTTAGAAAACTCCTAAATAAACAATGGGTGAAAAGAAAAATCACAGGGAAATTAGAGAGTACTTTGAGATAAAGATCAAAGTGCAACACATCAAGATTTATAGGATATAGGGCTCTCAGTGTGTACTTTTAAGTCCAAGGACACCCTCATATAACCACAGTATAACCATTAATCAAGAAGTTAACGTTGATCCAATTCTATCATCTAATCTACCAACTCCATTCACATTTCCTTGATTTGACCCATTGAGATACATAATTTACATATCATAAAATTCACCTGAGCACTGGGAATTTTTGGTTTAACTTAATACCATATTTCCAGAGTA